TATTCAACAATGCGCTGTGACCAGTATATGCTGTTGGATCCCTGGCAGGCTTGGGTGACAGCTGAGTTGAAATAAAGGAGGGTCATGTACCGTTGAGAGGGATAGAAGTCAGCTCCGCAGTGAGATTTCTTCCACAGCTCTTTGGTGGCCAGTGATGTTAATTGGTCCTCATGGTATCAGTGAATGATCCATCCTGAAGTTGAGCACTTCTCATTCAAGGGTAACAAGCACAGCAAAGGAAGACATTTCCTATTTTTTAAAATAAGAAAATGTGCCTATACAGATATAAGCAAAGGAGACCAGAACTGGGTAAAGGCAATGATTCTAATGAGTTCTTTACTAATTCAGAGTTTAGTGGATTCAGATTGAAATAATTAATTGTTCAGCCCTGCTTGGCTGTTTAACAACAACCATATTAGTTTAATTGTTCCCATTCAAGATAAAGAATTGTTTAATAAGGGCCTCTGAAAAATAATGCCATTTTAAGTTGAATTTTAATAAGTTCTATTAAATAAGTAACAAAGCCTTGTTATTGGCACTTAGAGACTTCTGGCATTACAGAGCAAAAACCAAGTGAACTCAGTACATGTGTCAAACTTATTTATGAAAGAAAATTATTTATCCCAGCAGTGATTCAACAGGAAGGTGTGTAATGCTTTCTGGATGTCAAGAACCATTTTAAGAAGTTGCTGATGCTCTTCTGCACGGCCAAGAGGAAGAGTCTGAACAGAGCTCTGACCCTAAGAATACAGGCTGTTCCCAATGTTCAGACAAGTTGTGTTCCAAACACATTTGATTGTAAATGACTTGTCTGGCACTTGAGTTTCATTTTTCTGGAGATGGCAATGCAAATAGAAGCACTGAGCCCAGTGGTTTTATTAGGTTGGTGCAAAAGTAATTGCAGTTTTTGCTTTACTTTTAATGGCAAAAACCACTTTTACTATTGCAACAACCTTACCTAAAGGAGGCAGATCCAAGGGTCCCGGCGGTAGAGAGAGAAGCCTAGGCATCCTTAGCCCTACAGACGCGAGGAGGGTTCTGGACATGCCTTGAGGTGCCGGGACCGGCCACTCATAGGAAAAGTGCGAAATATTTTGAGTAAGACCTAAATGAAATCCAGTTTTAGCTCTGCCATCTTCCAGCTGTTTGTCTTTGGACAAGTTACCCCACTAAACCTGTTTCTCCATCTAAAACAGAAAACATTGTACCAACTTACATGGCAGAACTGGTGTCACCTAAGGTGCTTCCGTTCAAAGTGTCCAAACTCTCTGTGTCTTTGCAAACATGCTGCCTTTTGGCTTTAATCTTCTACAGCCAATCAATTACCAAGTTCTATAGTTTTTACCTCTTACATTTCTCTGGAATGTTTCCATTTACCGCCACCCCATGGCACTACCCTAGATCAGCCACGTCAGCATCTCTACCATAGGACCCTTAAATGTGCCCCACTCTCTCCTACCTTGACATTCTCCTTGCACCCAGTATTGTTTCCCTGTAATCCACTCTTGACGGGGCAAGAGCTCTGGAGAGCATTTTCAAATGCAAGCCTGATCCTGCGACTCCTGCTTAAAATCTTTTTTGTTTTTGTTTTTATTGTTTTGTTTTGTTTTTGTTTTGTTTTTGCTTCTCATTGCCCTTTGGATAAAAACCAAACTCCTTAACATGAATTTTAAAGCCCTGCTCACTATGCGACCCCTGCCTCCATCTCATTCCTGAAACTCCTCCCCCTCCCACCGCACATACTTGCTGTACTAACTTATTTAAATCTCTTCAATGCACCACACTGGTCTCCTTTCTTGCATCCAGCCCTGAAACAGGGGATCCCTGGGCTGAGGACACTTTTCCTTCATTGTGCCCTCCCTGCTTCACCAGGCTAACTCCTGTATCCACTGCCCTTTAGGAAGGACATAGGCCAACTCTGACTCTGTTGGTTATTAGGATTCCAGTTGCAACACCCAATACTTCTGTTGATAGCTGTTGTGATACCTTGGCTCTTGTCTTCTTAGTTTAAAAGAATTTAAACAAGAGACATACAGCAAAGGAGATGCAGCAGAGAGTCATTCATTGCAAAAGAAAAGGAGTATTTTGAAAGTTAGATGCAGAATAAACAGTATACCCTGAGAGAGAGAGAGAGTTCAGGGTGAGCTGCTTGTAAGGGTGAGGCAGTGTTGATTATTGCTGGAGAAACCCCCTTTATGAGAGTCTTACATGATAATTCATAAGGAGATGGGAAGAGGTGTTACTAGTAAGCATGTTCTGGGTGGTCCTCTGGGTGCATGTGCGCTGTAGCTGTATGTGCATGTTCATATATCACGTGTCTCATTAGCGTCTTAAATCTCCACCCAGTGGTGTGTTTTTTACTATAAATGAGCAAAGGGTCAATTTGATGACAATTAAAATCAAAATGCACATGCTCTAGAGAAGGGACAGTCCCTCCTGAAGATAGCTTTGCTTACATGAGCTCAATTACAATGCGAATGCCAAGGCTTATTGTATTGGCTGTGAGGTCACCACCACTGTTGCATTCCAAGAACATGGTCACTTCCTTGACTATCCTGCCTTACTTCCCCTCTCAAAATACTTTATTGTAATTACTAGCTTAGTTCTCTGATTTACCTGTAGGCTAAAGGGCTGACATAGTAAGGCAAGGTAGTAGTAAGAGTGCAGGTTTTGAACTGCCTAGGTTAGATTTTGCTCCGTATTTGTTTGTCAAATGACTCATCATCTGTAAGCCTCAATTTCCTCACCTGTGAAATGGGTGGAAATGATAATGCCAATCTTACAGAGTTATTGTGTGAGTTAAATGATGTAATATACATACATGCTGATGCATATATGTGCATATATAAAAGATTTAAGTGCATTGACTGGTGCATAAAAATGCCTTCAATAAACTGAGATACATGTATAATGGGTACTTACTAAATATGTACAGACTTTTATTGTTTTGTTTTGCTTTTTAAAGCAAAGTATTCCTGAGACTGTTTTCTTGTGAGTCCTTTGTCTCTCTGTCTTAATTTTCCATTAGCTGGGTAAGATCAGAGTCTCAAAGTAAAAAGTGTTAACACTGTGTTTGCTTCCCTATTTGCTCATTTTTTCTGCCAATCTATGGAGCCTTCAGGTATGACATAAAGATGTGCAGTAGAATGCGGGTGGGCAAAGAAAAAATATATTCACAAAATGTGTTCTCCAGCCAACCAGTAAGGCATCCCTTCCTTACTAGTTGTAGGCTCTGCTTCTGCCTTTGTCTTTAATCCTTGCCTATTTCTGAGCCCCTTCGTTAGAGGCTACTGGCTGAGGAAGTCTAATGTGATGAAGTCCGAGTGTGAAGTTCACTCAGCAAAGACAGGAGAGTGGCATGCAAGCAAATTAAAGCATTCTTAGCTTTCCAGTTCACTCTCTCTGCAAACAAACAAACAAACAAACAAAAAATACGTAACTTTTTAGGCTTCTATTTTTAGGAGTTGCCAAATACATTTCAAAAGCAAAACTACAAATTAATGCAGCATGGGGTATGTGACATTTTTTAAGGTCTTTGGAGGAGATGACAAAACAAGGAGCTTCCCACTTTCCAGGGTTGTAAGTTTTTGGGAAAACATCGAGTGCAAAAAATCAATAAACATCCTACCTTGCCACTGAATTGTGTGAGGGTTTCCGGATTACCTGGTAGTCACCAGGCTTTAGAAGAGTTATTGTCATTTCGATTTTCAAATGAGTCACTGGATCTCTTGCCCCCAGGGCCACTTCATTATGATTCAGTGCAAAGTACTGACAGCACCAGGGCTTCCGGGAGGGAGTGGTGTCGGGGTGGGGGTTGCCGTTGGCAAGAGGCTTAATTGACACCTTTGATGTAGCCTAAGACAGAACCTGCACCTCCCACTGCTGCTTGGGAGACGTCAGCTTTACGCAGAAAAGGCATCTGCTGATGAATCCTGCATCTCATTCAGCCTGCTCTGGGAGCAGCCTTAGCCATCCTTAAACTCATCCAACCAATTCCCGTTTCCGCGGGTGCTTGGCTTAGTGCTGAGACGGGATTCTGCCCTTGGTATTCAGGTCCAACACTAAGACTGTGTCCATGTTAGAACTCATAGAAGGTAAGTGAAATGCATTGCTGCTCTCCCTTGTGGAAAGCGTTTATTTTGCACCCTCAAGAATCTATGTGTCTCCTGGTCAATTCTACTTCACTGACCGTGGGGCTGTAATGTTGTCATTTTTATAGGTAAAATAGAGGCGACCTGATACATCTTTATAAAACTGTGTCTTTAAGTGTTTCATTCTGTTGTCAGAGGTGATGTGACTTAGAGAAAAGAATTGCTTACTTGAGTTCTGTGACTTTAGTTCCGTTTAGTGAAAATGTGCATAAAACTCTTGAGAACTGGGTAGAATTCCAGTGATTTGAACTTGTTAGCAGTTTTTCTTTTCAAAGGCAGCAAAGAGAAACTGTGAGGAGTTTCTCAGCATCTGTGGCCAGTGACTGTCCTGTTCACGTCAGGTCCATCACAGTCAGGCTAGGGGGATGGACAAGACACAGGTGGATGCAGGACATTTTTCTAGAAGTAGGTTATTAATTATACAAATACAGTGATCTATTTATCAGGTCATTGGAATGTCACTGGTGATCTGTGCTTATATTTATTCCTGCTAGGTAGTACTAGGTAGCTAAACTGAAGAGTTAAGAATGAATCTCAATGAAAATGTCTCAGGACCATACATTCCTAAAGTCCCTGCTGGCACAGTTAATACATTCATCAGGAAAGTTATGAAAGGTACATCTTAAAAAATAATTCTGTAACCTGCTGCTCTGTGAAACACAGGATTTGCAAAACTGTGACTCTCTGAAGGCTACTCTTCCCAAAGCTCTTCCTCAATGCACACATGGAAGGGTGTCTAGAGTTCTAGTACACAGCTCTCTATGTAATTGTTTATTTCTTGGAGATGATTTGTCATGAAAATTATTTAACATGCCATTTTTCTCTGTGTGTGATTCTTTGTATTTCTAGTTAATGGAACCCCTGGTAGTCAGCTCTCTACTCCGCGCTCAGGCAAGTCGCCAAGCCCATCACCCACCAGCCCAGGAAGCCTGCGGAAGCAGAGGGTAAGGAAATAAGCAAGCTGCTTGTTTCAGACTTGTCTCAGCCTCGGTGCAGAGTGGTACAGGTGCCAGCAAATCGTGCTGCTCGTCTCTAGGTGATATCTAAGCTAGAACAGGAGGTGACCACTGGGGAGTTGCTTATTGCTGTGGTTTAGCTAGAACTCAGGGCTTTTAGCTTCTCTGTAACCTTGGCCAAGTCTTAACTCAGAAGAATGCACCTTTGCTACTTCACTTTTACATACTCCTCTTTTTGTTCTGACTGCACAGGCTTTATTAGCACTAGTTTATAAGCCTTCTTAGTTGTGATGAGTTTGATTAGATGTCACCATTAAGGGAAAGAAGAAGTGCTGTGAATGGAGGGGAGGGCCCTGGTGGAAAATTGCTTATGGTACAGATGGGGTCCCGGAGCAGCAGAGGGTCCATGAGGTAGGGGATGGGAACCTATGACACGTGCTTTTGTGGATGAAACCCATATTGAGCACCTTTTCATCACTACTTGCATTTATGGGCAATTTGGCTGAGCTTGGAGACCACAGTGAAAAAGTTACTGGAAACTGTTAGCTTCTCCATGCTAAGGAGGAGGGTGAGGGTTAGCGCTTCTTTCAGGTTGGAGAGACTACTGTTCTTATCCTGTCACAACCTGTACTGTTTGTCTTTTCCAGTAATACCATGACAAAAATAAAAGTAGTGGGAAGGAGGCCAAAGGGGAGGTACAATGCCAAAAACGGAAGGCCCTTTATGGTCCTGATTTCAGATGCTAGGTCGGGGGAATGTACACTTCTGGGAGGTTTCATGATGGTGCTCACCGAACACTTTAATAAGCGAGGACTCCTTGCAGTCTACTGCACTCAAATGCTAGATTCTTGAATTTGGTTTCTTTTAATATGTGTTTTAAAATAAAACTTCTGCCGGGCGTGGTGGCTCAAGCCTGTAATCCCAGCACTTTGGGAGGCCGAGACGGGCGGATCACGAGGTCAGGAGATCGAGACCATCCTGGCTAACACAGTGAAACCCCGTCTCTACTAAAAAAATACAAAAAACTAGCCGGGCAATGTGGCGGACGCCTGTAGTGCCAGCTACTCAGGAGGCTGAGGCAGGAGAATGGCGTAAACCTGGGAGGCGGAGCTTGCAGTGAGCTGAAATCCGGCCACTGCACTCCAGCCTGGGCGACAGAGCGAGACTCCGTCTCAAAAAAATAAAATAAAATAAAATAAAATAAAATAAAATAAAATAAAACTTCTGAGTTCCATAAAATTAGGTGTCGTCCAGGATGGAAGGCCCTCTCTTCAAGATTTCTGCACAGGTTGTGTCTTTAGGCTGCCAGATGTCTAAGAGTGTGGGGCAGGGAGATTCATTTGGTCCCTAGCTCCTTTGGAGCCTGTTGCACCAAATATCAAGTTTGGTTATCTTTCGCCACTGATTCACCCGGCATCAGGTGGAGCTTGTTTTGAGTGTTTGATGAAGCCTGGAATCTGATGCCAGCTTGTCCACTAAATGGCCATGGTATCTTAGATAAGCCTATTATCTTTTCTGGGTCTCCGCTGGAAACACAAAACAAAACAAGGAGGCTCTTTCCAGATAGAAAGTCTAATACTTCTGTTCTACTTCCATTTGAGTGTTTTCACTATGGTTTTTTCTTGGCCACAGTCTAATTTGGGATTTTAAGGTGTTGGAATCATTCACGAAAAACTCAAAGAATTGGCCAAATGTATTTACTCTCCTACAGGCCTGTCCTTGAGTGGAGGAAGAGCTGGTCAGTCATTCTTTTCTTGTAAACATCACGCAGTAAGGCATCAACCTATAGGGACCGCCATTAGATACAGAGCAGGAAGGGCCCTCTTTCGGAGAACATTCTCTCTCTTAGAGTGTATGCTTTCTAGAGTACACCTAGCATAGAAATCCCTCTTTATACTTTGAGCTAATGGAACTCAGATTAAGGATTTATTGGTGTCATTTATGCTTAGTTGTTGAGATTAAGAGTGACTGGGAATTCCCACTGCTGATGGGAGCTTCTCTCCCTGCTCGTTTATTGAGGAGACCTCCATCGTAGCGATGTAAAGCTATGCTCAGATGTCCCTTTCTTGGCGGAATGGGGCTAGAATTCGCTTCCACTTTCTGTATTTCCACTTTAGTATGATTTTGTCCAATTGAGGCAGAAAATTGCCATTCAGCTCTGTGGCTATTGGCTTATATAATTAACATTTCCTGCACTTGGGGAATGATTATAAGATATGGCTGTCTTATAGGTTCTTCATTTTACCATTTAAATGATCAGTGCAAACACCATACTTGAGAGAAAAAAAAAATCCCATTTGTTTTAGGAGGACAAAGCGTTTATACCATCTGAAAACACTTATTGAGCACATGTTGTGAGGCAGGGCACTGGATATATTCTAAGATGGTTCCATATCCAAGCTTTTGAATTTGGGCCATAAATGAACGTCCGCATCCATGTGCTGTGTCAGTGTATGAAGGCATTCCCAGCTGCTTTAGCCAGAGGAGCTTTCATCTTAGCATGTAGGCAACTGCATCAAATAATCCCTCCCAGTTAAAATGGGCCTAGAAGATCCCTAAAAACTGATCCTGTTTCAAATTTGGTTAATGGTCTTCTCAAATGGTTGGCTATACTCCTATGCAGGAAATACTGACATAAGTGAAAGATGGCATGTGCTAAAAGAAGACACTTCAAAGAATAAATTAACTCTTTTTACTGCAGATTGGAAAACAGTAGCTACTTCTATTTTTTCCTTCTGTGTTGCCTAGCAACATAGCCATGAAAATGAGTTGACTACCCTCACCCCACCACACACACACACATACATGCATGCGCACACACCTTGCCCCCATTTTAAAAATACAGGAACATAAGGTGTTTTTTCAGAAGGAAGGTTGAGACATTTGACTGGTTTCTTTACAAATAAGAAAATCTAGTTTTTACTTATATTAGTTACAAAATTTAATTACCTTTTTTTCTTCTGTTAAAATCACATTTTTATGCTACCTCTCTTGACATTTTGGAATAGTCTTATACAATGAAAAACCTGCATGCCAGACATTTATCTTCATAAGCATATTCGTGGCAATGTACCAAGTAACCTATTTTTCCGAAGCAGAGTTATTTAAGTTGCTGTCTACAGGCGTTTGACTGGTCACAGAAGCAGATCCTGGAGACTCTTTTCCCACTCATGAACTTTTTTTGGTCCCATTTCTTAATCCATCAGGAAGAAATGTGTTGTGTTATGTAGGCTGAATGAAGCTCCCCATTATACTCCCACTTCACTGACTTTTGTAGATTATCTGATCAGTCAGATGATGTGAGGAGTGGGTGGTACAAAACAGGAGAAAAGCCAACTCTAGACGCTCTCTGCAGATCTGAGCTGGTTGCCTGGCTACCAATTGAGATCTAGTAGCAGGAAGGGGAGGGAGGAAAAGAGAGAGGAGGTGGTGAGTGAGTGGTCTGTTGGAGAACAGGGAAAGAACATTGGGAAGGGATTTGGGGTGAGGTGGGTTAATTTTGCACTCTTTCTGTCGTCCAAACATAATATTTTGAGAAAGCAATGCTTTCTTGGGTTTTATGCTACATGCAACTACAACATTTGAGTTGCTGCTCTGGGACCAGAATTTGCTGAATGCCATCTGAGCCTCCTTATAAATTATTTTATCTTGAGGTAAGCATGTTCCTTTTCTACCAAGAATGGGAAGGAAATGGTCAAGGAAGAATTGCCTAGTCACGCAGTAGTGGAGGTGACCTTCACAGACCTCAGGGGCCATGCAACTCAACGGGCATCAAGGAAGGTGAAAGATTATGAATAGACCAAGAGGCATTTTCTTGCTAATAAGGTGAAACCAGCACCATTTTGTTTATTTAGACGGTTTCTCTATTATTATCTTTCCTCCTACTCCAAGTTGGTGACTTGAAAAGGTCAATAATATTAGAAACCGGAGATGCCCATTCAGTGTTGCTCCCACGAGAGCCACAGGGCACCCAAGAAAGTTGAGTAAACAAATCTATACCGCCCTTCATCTTGCAGGACCTGTACCGCCCCCTCTCTTCGGATGACTTGGATTCAGTAGGAGACTCAGTGTAAAAGAAACAATGGAGCAATGTATATGGTTTGTGATTGGGTGAAGGTTTCACATTTCCTAAGCAAAAGTCTAACAGCAAAATACACAAAAGAGTTTTGCATACCTTGAAATGATAAAAGACCAAATCATACAAAAGTAAATATGTAGGCATTTTATATTCATGATGTTCAACCTTGAAATTGAGAGATTTTAAAAAATATCTCCCACATTGATTTGATTGGGGAGAATCTGAACACAAAATGCTGAGATTTTTGTGCAGCGCCTGGCTCTAGATAAATTTCATTTACGGACCCAATATTGAGTACAAGAACACACTAATCATGTGGCAATATAGAGCCAGAATTTCTGTAGATGGAGTTTTCTTCTTAATTATAAGTAGGCATAGAGATATAATTTTTCTGTACTTTCTGCAAAGCATATTAAAATGGCACTAGTAGGCATATTTTTTCTTAAGGTTATGTTGTTTTTTAAAATTTGAATTGCTGGTTTTTAGAGGTATTTTTATTGCAAAATAATAAAAAATGCTTGGGTAGATTTTTTTCTCCCTAGACAGTAGAAAAAGCTACTTATTGTTTTGTGGGCTAGTATATTTGAGAGCAAAAGAAAAATTATGACAAGGACACATCTCATAAAGACTCTAAAATTAGGCGTTAGGAACTTTCCTTGTTTTTGTTGTCAAGTAAATTTTATTTTTTAAAGTTATTTTAGTAGAAACAGTATAAATTTAGCTTAAGCTATATGCCAACATGAAGAACTTGGCCAATGGCATTGCTATAGATTGTATAATTTTTTCTTACAATCATATACATAATTTTTTAAATGTGTAAAAACTAAAGCTGGGAATTTTTTTTTTTTTTTCATACAGACCTAAAAAAAATTGTATCTGGACTTTTTCCAGGAAATCCATTTGAAAAGCA